AAGGAGGGGAAGACACCACCCATAAGAAGAGTATTTCAGGCAGGGCAGCTCTTTGATGCAGAATTTAGGGTCCTTTTAAGTCCTGCTGCCGTACCCCTTTCCTCTCTTCCTGGTTTTTTATTTTTAAATCACTGATTTAACTAGTCCATCCTTCTCCCCTCGTGGATAAGGAGACTGTGAAAGCTAGAAGGTAAAGACTTGATGATGACAACCTAGGATCCTGATGCCTGGAACCACCCCACCCCCCCCCAAACACATAACCAGATCAAATGACATTTATTTCTACTGGTTATTTACATCATTCATTGTTTTCATGAATTATTTTAAAAGCTGTATGAAAACAGGCAATGTATCTGCTCATCAGTTGGAATGTTCAGGAAAAAGAATCTCCACCTGAAAGAAAAAAAAACAACCCTATTATAGTAGAGAAAGATTGTCTTTAAAGTGAAGGTATTTTTATTTTAGAAATGTCATTCTTTACTAAGTGAAATAGGGAAGTAAACTCAATTACTGAACTTCTGTTTTGAAAGTAAGTGATTAAATAACTGACACACTGAGATTTTTATATTGAAGACAAATGTCTTTGTTTCTCTCAGATCTCACGGTAATGTAAGTGATTATGTGGAGCTTAAAGTAGATCTTACTGAGCCCAGCTTCACAGAGCAAATGCCAGTAGAATCGTAGAAGCTAGAAAGAAAATCCCTTGCTTGTATGTCCTCTTTTCCTCCCTTGTTATTGGAAGTGTATGCCTCATTTTTAAAATTAGGTTGCTTGAAGGTAACACTAGCCATGAGCATTTGTGTCACGTTACTTTGAAAGTAAATAGCAGTGGGTTTAGCAGCACAGATTCTGGGGTCCCAAGGCTGAAATCAATAGCCCCTCTCTAGCCACTTTCTTGCTGAGTGATCTCGAGCCTAACGTCACTGTGCCTGCTTATCTTAAAATGGAATCCGTGATGTCTTTGTCAGGATTAGTTTGAAGTTTAATAGCACAGTGATCAATAATTATTAGATGTTATTCTTATCTCTGTTACGTCTGGTTGCTGCTTTAGCTGGGAAACTTTGGGGCAGTTTGGGACTCCTTGAGAGTATAAATTAGGGACAAAAAATTATTGGGAGAGGAAGTAGCTGTCAGTTGTGGTTTCAGATCTAGAGATTTGGGCATGTGGGAACCTGACTTGCTTTGGTTACTTTTTTGCAATTTATAGCTTAATAACTGTTAACACATTAAATGATTAAGTATGTATCTAGTGTCAGTTTTGTTTTTCTAAGCATGTAATTTGAAGCACATGATTGATCATTTAAAGCCAACTACCCTAACTTGTTTCATGTCAAACTTGAATCCTGTTCATTTGTATGTTTTTTAAGGAAAGCTATTACTGTGTAACACAGTATTTTCCTTTCAGACTTTATAAAACATCTGCTGCTCTTTTTTTCAGCTAAGGTAATTCATGGTTTTTTTAAGCTATTAAAAATCTAATTAAAAACACAGTACACCCAAATTATATTACTACTTTTCTTTGTTTAGTTCTCATCAGTTAGATAAATGTCTGATCTAGCTTGATGATGGGGACTTACGTGATGATCATTATAAATATGGCATATTTGTGTTACTTTTTTGTCCTGTTTTCTCTGCTAACTGGATGGAAAGCTAACTAGGAGCTAGACTTTTATCTATTACATTGTGAGCATCTGGCTATTCAGTTAACTCTTGTTAGTTCCCTGTGTTTTTACATCAGTAAGTCTGTGTTGAATAGGAGTATAACAAAAAGATTTTCTGGATCATCTATGTTAAAAAATGGGGGAAGGGATGAGAAGTGGGATAGGTGAGCTGAGCAGAGCCTTTTACATCCACAGCCCTTTCTTCAGAATGGTTTGTCACTTTATTTGGAGACATTTTTGTGCTCTCCAGATATACTCTGTGTCAGTAATTCTGTTGGAGCCACTTGCTTTGATCTCAGTTTTAAAGTTCAGCTACAAGCTAAGACTAGAGGTAACAACCAGAAAGTTCATTTGTATCAAGGAGTGCAAATACCGGTACTTGTACCTGAGTGGAAAGGTGAGGTTTCATTCTTGAATGTTCTCTGTATATTAGGAACTGGTGGGGAATGAGCACCTCGTCACTGTGGTTGAAGAGGAACACAAGAAATGGAGGACAGGAGTTTCCCAAAATAAAATCAGGGCGTGATTAGTAGAATAAGGGGAAATCGATGCTCCACAGGCAGGAAAGACACCGTCCAAGTAGGTGAAGTCATCTCATTAGATGGCATCTCGCCTGCTGCTTGACTTTCAGCTTTGGTCCGGCTAGAAAAGCCAGGTACATGGGGTTCCATGGTTAAGCTTTTCTTCCCTGAATATCCAAAGACCAACAAAGAGGAGTCAGTGAGTGTCACATTAAGCCAAATGGAAAACCATTGTTTCATGGGTTTTTTTAAAAATAAACTTTTTATTTTAGAACAGTTTCAGATTTATATAAAAATTCCAAAGATAGTACGGACTTCCCATATCCTCCCCCACACCCAAGTTTGCCCTGTTATTAACATCTTACATTGATATGGTTAATTACTGTTAACTAAAGTCCGTATTTTATTCAGGTTTCCTTAGTTTTTACCTAATTTCATTTTTCTTTTCTAGGAGCCCATCCAAGATACCACATTACATTTAGTAGTCTCCCTAGGCTCCTCTGGTCTTGTGACGGTTTCTCAGACTTTCTTGTTTTTGATGACCTTGACAGTTTTCAGGAGTGAATTATAGAATATCCCTCAGTTGGAATTTGTCTGATGTTTTTCTCATGATGAGACTGGTGTTAATGTGATTTTGGGAGGAAGACCACAGAGAAAAAGTGCCACTTTTATCATATCATATCACAGGTACTATCAGCATGACTTTTCACTGTGGATGTCGACCTTGATCACCTGACTGATAATGTTTGTCAGGTTTCTCTATTGTAAAGCGATTCTCTTTTTCCTCTTTTCCACGCTAGAAGTCACTATGTGCATCCCATGCTTCAGGAGTGGGGAGTTATGCTCCACCTTCTAAATAGAAAAGTCTCTACATAAATTATTTAGAATTCTTCTCCCTGAAGGTTTTGTCTCTTCTCCCCCGTTGTTTATTTATTCAATCATTTATTTATACCAATATGGACTCACAGATGTTTATTTTATACTCAGGTTTTAATCCAGTTGGCTTGACTTATTTTATTGCTCAAGTGGTTCCAGCTTTGGCTATTTGGGGAACTCTTTCCCTTAACTCTTGCATCACTTTGACGTACTCCTGTCGATATAGGATTTTGTTTTTGTTTAACGCTTTCTTTCTGGCATCACAACTTGCTCGCCTTTCATCTTGTGTATTTCCTGCCCCAGTGCTAGATTCAGCCATTTCTTCAAGAGGCTCCTCCTGTTCCTTTTGTTGAAGAATGGTATTAGGACCCAAGATTTTGGAGCTAGAAATGCTTTTGCTACTGGGTTTTAATTACTTCTAGCCCCTCTCAACTGACAGAGCAGGGAAATATATGTGTGCATACTAACCTGTATATATACACATCTATAAATATTTCTGTATGTAACAATCTGTCTCTGTATTAAGCTCAACATGAGTTTGTACTTAGTTGCCGACTCTAGTCCATTATCACATGGATCATTCTAGGCGCCTTCCTGTGCTTTTGTGTAGACTCTTATTCCAACACAAATCTGACTGTCTCTACCCATCATCCATATGTTTAATTGTTCAGTTCCAGTGTACATGCATAGCAGCATCAGAATGCTTATCCCAAAGCCCCGTGGGAAGTAACTTTATCAACTAGAATTTAGTGCTTATGTACAATTTCTTTTGCCTTTAATCTTACTGATTCCACTCAGTTCCAAATGACTTAGGTCAGCGCCCCACCTCCTTTCAGTGAGATGTTTCCTACCTTTGTTATACAGTTAAATTGTTTTGTCATATTCTACAGTCTGTCCTGGGTACCTGACCTCCTAAATGATCTTTTTAATTGCATATAATGGTTTCACTCTTGATGCTGTAAAGTTGTTTTAACAGATGCACAGCGTGGTTTGTATCTACTGTCACAGTATCATATGGAAATTTCACTGCTTTGAGAAATTCCCTGTGCTTTACTTACCCCCTCTTCCTTTCTCTCTCTCTCAGCCCCTAGCAACCACTGATCTTTTTACCATCTCTATAGCATTGCCTTTTCCAGAATGTCATATACTGGAAACCATATAGTGTGTAGCCTTTTCTTTTATTTTCTATTACTGAGTAATATTGCATAGTGTTGATAATCTGTATTTGCCTCTTTATTTACCTATTAAATCTTGATTGTGTCCAGTTTTTGATGATTATGAAAAACAGCTGCTCTAAGGAATGGCTTGCAGATTTTTGTGTGGGCATGTTTTCAGATCAGTTGGATAAATATTTAAGAGCACAGTTGCTGGATTATATGGTAAAAGTACATTAGCTTTTTAAGTATTCTATCTTTGCATTGTACTTAGTTTCTTGGAACAGGGTAATCTCTTTTTGTCATTTTCCTTGCCCACTCCCCGACCAAGTCAGTCTTGACCATTGATCCTAGATCCTGTCGTGACTGAAAAAGAGCAAATGATACAGAACTTCAGTTTATCATTTTGGGGGGGAGGAATATAATCCACTAGTGATCTTTCCTGTGTGTTTAAGATATCTCCAATTAATCTATCAGTGAAAATAATCTGCATCTAGTTGAACTGCACTGTTTTGTGCTTTCCGGTATTATAGCAGGAATAAATATTTTGCACGTGGCTTACACAGCCTGTAGGTTCTTAAAACTGTAATTGGGTTGTGTTGTTTTATTTTCAAGCATTTCATAGTTGGTAAAATACTGAAACATTTGTCATATTTTCTTCCTCCTTAACCATCACCATCAAGCAGTATATTTGAAAAACATAAAATTGTACTGATTAACTTTAAAGTAAAACATTAAATGGAATTTATATTCCTGTTGAGTGACAGTGTGTTTTGTTTCCTTCACAGCATTTATTCAGTCGGAGAGCATAATAGAAGTACTGCGTTTTGATGATGGAGGGCTTCTACAGGTAATTTTATTTTAAGTTTGTAGAATTACCTCGGTGTCAAGCCTTGAATAATATCTGATTGTTTTCTCATTTAAAATGTATTTTTGAGCTATAAAATGTATTTTTTGAAATATATTTTAATGAGCTGTATATGCAGACAGGTCAGTAGAGTCATTTGCAAAAATAAAAACCTCCTTAGCTGTATGAATTACCTTTCAAATGAAATATTTCTGGGTGGTGGTGGGAGGTTAGGTGGGGAGAGTCAGAGAGGAGCAAGAGAATTGGCGGTAAGCTCGGCGAGCCTGCAGCCAGCAACTGAGAGCCTGAATTTGGATGTTGGACCTCAAAACCTGTATCTGGAAGATAGAGGGGATAACTTCTGTAGACTTACATCTATATCACTCTTTCACTTGCCATCCTAAGCTGCGACTTTAAATATATTATACATAAAATTAGAAAGTGTAATCTGCTAAAAATCCTGTCCTTCCTTTCAGACCTAGCTCACATAACACCATGAAGGCTGTTTCAGTCTTCCCAGCTAGAACTCACTTCTAGCATTTCAGAGCTGAAAGAAACAGCTCAACCAGCCCTGACTTTTATGACTAATTTTCTTCTTTCTTCCAAACTTGTATCATATTCTGTGCTTGCTCTTACCACCTTTGTAATAGTAACATTTTTTCTCAAGTACCATGTTATTTGGTA